CGTCAGACATCTGTGCCTACATCTGCTCCTTAACACAGCTGTAGTCATGTCTATAACTTGAACATTTTTCACACAGGAATTTTTTCTTTGTATCTTCATTTCATTGATAGTTTCCATACTCAGAATCTCCAGTAACGTATTCTTGAATATTTGGAATAGCTGGAAATCTGTAAGTGATCATCTTCAAACTGAAAAGGAATTAATATTTTTGGACAGTCATTCCTTTACATATTTTCTCACATTCAATTTTCAAAATGAGTGGTAAATCATTAGCCATGTTTCAAAGATAATTTAAGATTCAAATAGCTCAAATATATTATCCAGTGCTATACAGGAAATATAAGGGGACTCTCTGAGCTCAGCATCATTTCGTTCTAAAGCCAGATTCATCCTGCATACTGATTACTGTTAACTTACTACACTTGAGCACTTTAACCCAAAATAGTTTAGCATTTTCATGGCAGAGGGCAAAGCAGTTAATAGTTTACTAAAGATATAAAAGGGAAAGATAATGTCTGTCTGGTAGTGTATTAAAGGGAGAATCCTGGAGGAGAAAGAATTAGAGTAATTAGAAAAGGGTTAATGTCTAAAAAGAAAAGAATGTAAAACAGCTTGAACACAGTTGCTGCAATTCTTCCCACTATGCCCCACCCCCCGGCCTGTTAAGTCAGCCCAGCCTCTTTCAGTGTCTATTGGACTTCGTACCTAAGGTTTACACCTTCCAGAATGTCTACAGCGATATAATGCCTTACCACTAGTCATTTCACCTGACTTCCATCTTGCTTTACTCCTACCTGCTGTGAGGCAACAGTGTGCAAAGGGCAATTTGTAGGCTCATGACTGATCACCCTGGGGGCCAGAGACTCTTCTGATTGAACCTGCCTTTGTACATGTGTGCTGTTATTGTCAAATTTAATCACACCTACTAAGATAGGAAGATGCTGTTCTCAGAGTTTACATCTTGATAGCAAGAGATGAGTCAGTGATGTGGGCAGACATAATGATTTCATAAGAATCATAGAAGGAACGTGCTGTTTGACTCTGGAGACTGATTTTCACGAGGAACAAACAGAACCCAAACGTGAGTGAGGCCTTGTTTCAAGATTCTGCAAACAAGCATCCAGGCCACAAACAAAAGCTCCATGGACCAGCTGTTTTTTCCAGAGGCAAGGAATGCCCAACTGGAGATGAGTAGTAGGAAGACTATGAAGCTATGCACCTCACTTCTTTCTTTGAAGATGGATTCAAAGTCCTGCTATAAACATTCAATCTCTCTTTTTCGGGACAGAGATAGATAGAAATCTCTAAAAACAGAACACAGAGAAATAACTTCAGGGTTGGGCAGGCACTCCCTGAACCAACAGGATATCCTCAGCAGTACTTTTATTTTTGACTCTCAGTCCACAGTTGTCATAAGATCAAACATTCTTCTGGCTTCTTCAATTTCCACACTGAATTCTTCAGAACGTATTTGTGAATATCCTCTTCACTCAGCTAGCCTTCCCTGCCTGAGCTGTGAAACCATTTCCAACAGCTAACTGGATGAAGAATTTTAAATAGGATGGCTTTTGCTCTTCATCAACTAAATATTGACAACCAGTAGCCAATTTGAGCTTTGGATATATGCAAGAACTCTTCAGAGTTATTTAGTCTCTTTGCCATCTTTGAAAGAACTTAATTCAGAACTAACAAATGAAAGATATCCAAATCATGGAGATTTGCTGATATGATGGCATATGCCTGAAATTCCAGCATTGAGAAGGCGAAGGTAGTAGGACTAGACATTCGAGGCCTGCTACCTAACAAGCTCAAGACCAGTCCAGGATACATGAGACACTGTCTCAAAACAAAACAAAAAATTCCTAAACTAAGAATAAATTTTCTGAAAGTTAAAGACAGATTAAAAATAACCCATCTCCCAAAATTCACATGTAATCATAATGTATGCTATTGGGTGGTGCTTACATTATGACTGCTAATAGACCAATAGGAGAAATGTGTCTTGATGAGGAAACCCCAATCTAAGTCAGAACACAGGATCTGAGCTATGTCTTCCACAAATTACCTAGAAGATTCTGGTAATATCACTTAAACTACCATGTGTTTGATTCCTTCTCTACAAAGTGAAAAGACTGAGCTAATATGTGGTTGCTAAATCATGCTCTGAAACCCACTCAGCACTCTGCAGAGTAAGTCAATGAATTACTGGAGGTGGCGACTGGACCTCCACCCTACCACCATGATTATCGTCTCTGCCTTAACATCTCCATGTCTTCAGATTTTGTGTAAGACTGGTTATAAATCTCTTTCAAATTCTTGGAAAATATTGACTGTAATATCATTAACCAAATTCTATTTCAGAATTTCATTTCCATTGACATGAAAGTATCTCTTTACATAGCAAATATCATTCCCTATGATAAATTAAATAAACATTTCAAAAATAATGTGCCCAACAAGATATCTACATGATAATAATTACCTCGTTTTAGTCTATGAATATGGGCGAACTCTGTTTGGTTAGATTTCTGTAATCATCTTATCTTAATGCTCTAGTACTTATATTTAAACAGTTTATAGAGTCCTAAGTGGGTTTTCAAACTTAAGGAGTAAACCGTTGGTCAGAATAAACACAGGAGTGTGTGCCTCTTAACATCATTCCTTATTTGCCTTGTTAGAAACATTTCTGCATTCAGACAACCACACTTCATCAATGATCAAGAAAAATAAGGCAAGGCAATGGAAAAGGAGCAAGGATTGAGGAAGGAAAGTGAATTTTCTGATTCACCCTTCTAAATTTGGTAAAAAATGGGAGTCTGGTCCTCACTCTGTTAAAGCTGCCTTGGCAGCCAGCAACCAGGCACAGGAATAAGGGAGTGCAGAGAAATAAGGCATAAAAGGCTGAATCCCTGCGGAGAAGCCCCAAGGAAGCATGTTTATGACATCAGTCCAAAAAGAACTCATAGAGGGACTAAAAGCCAAAAGAACCCTGGGAGACAATCCTCAAACTGGAAGCAAAGAAAGGAGTAGACTGAAAATAAAGACAGAAGAGGCAGAGTGGAGCTAGTTGAGACACAAGAGATGTGGGGCTTGGTAAAGAACGGCTTTCTTAAACAATGTCTCATATATCATAAATTTCTCATATACCATAAATTTAATACCATAAACTTTGACATGCTTTTTATGGACTGAAATTTATCCTTAAAGAGCCTCATAGGGAACATATGAACTTGTGTGTGTGTGTGTGTGTGTGTGTGTGTGTGACAGAAAGAGAGAGAGAAAGAGAGAGAGAGAGAGAGAGAGAGAGAGAGAGAGAGGGTGGAGGGGCTCTGGCACCCAGAGAGAGAGAGAGAGAGAGAGAGAGAGAGAGAGAGAGAGGATGGAAGGAGTAGAGTCTTTTGTCTACAACATAGAAGTCTGTCTTAAAATCCAAGTATGTTGTTTTGTGTTTCCTTCCCCTCAGAGCTCTATATGATTTCAATTCCTCTGACCTTTCAATGCTTTGGATGCAGTAATGACTATAAACATTTCATGGCATCTGTTCAGTAACAGGAGATGCCCTCATACCACATAAAACTAAAGAAAAATAAATGTTTAAGCTATCTTATAGGATTTTGTCCAGTTATAATTCTATTGCCCTTCAGCCCATTCTATTTTATTAAGTACATATTATATTGTTTGAACATTTTAGTGTCTGCTTAAATATTTCAGAGAAATTTTATGATTGGTAAAATAATTCCAGGTTTTCATAAAACATGAACTCGGAAAGTTTTCTACCACTTCTTAAAATTATAATTTTAAAATAAGAAAAATTTGATTCTACTCAACTTCTTACTGACCCTTACATTTAAATAAATAGATGAGGTTCTGATCTTTCTTGAAAGAAGTTTTGCCATCAGACTGGGTTCTCATAAGACCTTTTCGTGGTCTCTAATCAGTCTCATAAGTAAAAACGAGGTCACATTTGCCATATTTCTCAGTTGGCATGTATACAAACGGTTAGTCATGATTTTCACAAATTGAAATAAGCCAAAGTGGGTTTTGGCTATTCACACAATTTGCCTAAAAGGAAATGTCATTATTCTCAGTGTTACTAACAGCAAAGTCTTTGGGAAAAGACATAAATTACTTTGACGTAGTTGACGTAACAGGAAGTTGGCCCGCAACTGAGTGATCTGCGCCATGAGTGGAGATAGCTGAGTGCTTTGCTTGTTCATATTTTCTTAGCCAGGGAAGCAGAAGCAAACTGGATTTTCATCTGCAAAACCACAGAAATGCTCTTTCTCTGATGAATTCCTTCAAGCAAGTGTACAACGCACAGGTGTTTGTTTTCTTATTTGTTTGCTTGTTTATTTTTTCAATGCTGGGGATCAAGCCTAGGGCTTTATGCAGGTTAGACAGGTGCTCCACCACCAAGTCACATCCCAGCCCTTAGACCTTTTTTCTTTTAACATATAACTCCTGATAAAGGTGATGGATACCTTGGAGCCCGAAAGTCTCACCCATTGCAGGTCATCACTATTATCTCACAGGGGGGCTCTTGTTTTTGGTAGAGGAAACGCTAAAATTCAGTATTTTCCCTTGAATTAAAGTTCTTGTAGTATTGAAATATCTAAACAAAGGTAATCTAAATCAACTACATAAGAAACTACTCAGAGCAGACCATAAAGAAATGTGGTAACGTCACTTGTAGCATTTTAATAGTCCTGGATATTCCTACTAGTCATTCCTGCATTAGACATTTAGTTATACATATTAAACCTAAAGGATTTTGTGACGACTCCAGACTGGCAGGTTTATCACTGTTGAGCATGTTTGTTGATGTAGTATTGAAGACAAGATGGAGGTCAGAAGCTCATATTTATTCATTTAAGTGTCAACCCACATTTCAAAGCAAAAGATACTGGATATATTTAAATGTTTGCGATCAGGGTTCTACAGAAAATGACAGAAATTTGTGTGTGGTAATCTTTGGGGGTGACACTCTACAATGAACACCTGTAAGAGAAACTGATCAGAGGCACAAGAAAGTGAACTTCATTCAATACATTAGCGATGGAAGCCTCAGAACCTCTGGATTTGGGCTGAGCAGCTCGGCAGGACCTTCATAGCAGTTTTGAGCTTGACAAAGAAAACCGAGCCTCCACAATTCTCCACTTCACCCATCAATCATCAGCCAGTGTGTGCCTTTGTTGCAGGGTGAGATAGCTTCCTTCAGCAGGGGGCCAATGAATGCTCTAAGAGATGCTCAGATGTGAGGCTTCTGCTGTTGATGCAATGAGCGCCTTGATCATAAAATGGCATCTGGGTAGTGCACCGCAGGCTCCACCACAGTAATGAAATTTTCATGAAGCCTGTAATTTTTTCAAAAGGCATTTACATTTACTGCGTATCAAATTTTTTTAATTTTAGAATTCTAGAATAACATCAATACCTGTTTCAAAAACTACTGTGAAATAAAATTGAGAAAGAACTTACACAATCCATGACCTTTTTTAAGATTTATTTTATTAGTTATTTACTTACACGTGTATATGTGTGTGCCTATGGAGGCTAGAAAAAAGGTTACTAGATGCCCTAGAGCTGGATTTATAGTCATTTAGGAACCTCCTGGTATGGGCACTGGGATCTGAACTTAGGACAGCTAGAAGAATAGCGAATTCTCTTAACTGCTCTGCCATCTCTCCAGCCCCTTAATCTACTATCTTAAATAAGTAATCTTATAACTCAGTTGTCTGAGACAGGAGGACTGTCAAGAGTTCAAGGCCCATCTGGGCTACATACTTGGTTCCAGACCAGGCAGCACTGTAATGTGAGACTCTTCTAATAATCTTTGGCACCATGACAAGTTCCACGTAGCCATGTCTCCGGACCTCTGAACTTTTCTCTAAGTCACCTCATAAGAACAAAAAGAAAAGAAAAGTCACCTAATAAGAAAAATAATAATAATCTTTATTCTCTAAGTTTTAACCTAGTACCCCAGTCTCCTAATTTTGATGTAGTTTGTTTCAAAGCACAGCATAAGGTGGGAGGTTGGGCAGGACAGGTGGAGAACAGTGTGTGTATTTCAATCAAAAAGGGTAAGAAATCTCAAGGAACTTTGAAGGTCTGTGACAGTGATGGTGGTGCTGCTAGCTTTTCATCAACTCTAAAATTATAGTAATACTTGCATTAATTAGGAGTTTCTATAGGTGCATTCTCTCTTAATGCTACTTACAGCTCTATATGGGAGCCTTTTCAGTGGGTATCCTTTGACTTCTGGGCCCCCAAACAACAAAACCCAACAAAAGAACGTTTAAGAATAGATGAGAGCAAAAGCCAGACTCTGTAGCACGTACCTGTAACCCGGCTTTGGGGTGGGCAGAGATAGATGGATCCCTAGAGCTCATTGGCCAGGCAGTCAAGCAAAATGAGTGAACTCCATGTTCACTGACAGACATTGTTTCAAAGAATAAGGTGGAAAACAATTGAGAAAGACAACTACGTTAGGCCTAGCCTCTACGTGTGTGCGTGTGCGCATACACACACATGCACACCAGCATGTACACATGCATATGCACATCCCCATGAACAAACACAGCACCACACACACACACCAATGCACACCACCATGTACACATATGTACACACCCACATGAACACATACACACACACCACACAAACACACCACATACACACACACACAAGAATAGGCAAGAAAAAATATCATACTAAGAGTTTATGGATGGGTTTTTTAAATAAATATGCACATTTTAAGATAATATAATTTCTTGACACATTTTCATAATCAGAGGGCAAAAAAGTATATTGTTGTACATGTACTAAAATACCATGTTCCAATGTAATGATTCCTGTACATCATACACATATACACAAAAACGTTAACCTATAAAGTTTGGGAAGATAATGACAGGAAAAATAGCTTTCTATAAAAATTAGGAGACTAGGGTACCAGGTTAAAACTTAGAGAGTAAAGATTATTATTATTTTTCTTATTAGGTGACTTTTCTTTTCTTTTTGTTCTTATGAGGTGACTTCAGTTTTCTTTCAAAGTCACACACTGAGGAGCTGGGAGCTCAGTGCCACAGTGCATTCCTAGCAGCATGAAGCTGAGTTCAATACCCACTACAAAAAATGTCACAAATTAAGTCATGAGTTAGTTTCTTTGACAAAAGCCCTCTCAGTTCCCATCAAATGCTAGCAGGAGATGAGGCCATTGCATAAAGACCATTGAAACTGTGTCTAGTACTGGAATGGGACCTTCTGCACATTCTGCCAAATAGTTTTTTCCACATGGCTGTGTGAACCCTGGTGAACATACCACAGTTGTAGATCTGCCTGGCAGCAGCCTTTCCAGGTTAAAGAACCTGATTTACTATCTCTGAGTGGCTTACTCTCCAGAATACAGATTCACACACATACACTAACAAGGTCAGAAAAGAAAGACTGATAAACAAATCGGACTGTTTACATACAGCATGTATCAGCCAATGAGAACAGGTATCCCACTGGACTGATTAGTTCATCCTCTCTTCCCTGGAAAGCTACATGGAACCCAAATGATGATGACAGTCAGACAGAGGTGGAACATCATGTGGACACTCAGTGGACTCTGATTCACCCTGAGAGGCGCAGGCCTCCATCTATGTATTTGATTATTTCTGAGAAGTCAGAAGGAAATTTCCATAGCTGGCAAGGCTGCATCTCCTCTGGATAAAGAGTTCTTTGATGGAATTTGGCAATCAAAGTTTAATAATTCTTTTCTACAATTCTGTGAACAGGCCCAGGTTTCGCTGGTACCTGAGTTTATATAACCTCTGCGTTTCTCTGAAAACAAAAGTGAATACAAAATAAGTTTAAAAGTGATTAGAAAGGCAACATAAGTCACAAATTTTATAATTTTAGAAAGCTGGTAAAAGAGTTACAGAATCTGAGGCTGGAGAGATGGCTCAGTGGTTAAGAACACTGGTTGTTCTTGCAGAAGACCCAGGTTCGAATCCCAGCACCCACATGGCAGCTAACAACTGTCTGTAAGTCCAGTTCTGGGCATCCGATGGCCTTTTCTGTCCTCTGCAGGCATTGCACAACATGGGTGTGTTTACCTACATGCAGGCAATGCACTCATACACATAAAATAAAAATAAATAGGTAAAAATATTTTTTAAAAAAAGAATCACAGAACCATTGAAATCTATCCGATGACTTTGTATACATACACATGTGCCAAGGATCCAAGTGCAACCGATTATGACTAGTAATAATCAGATACATACAGATTAGAGATGCATGTGCAAACATGTAAGTGTTAGTAACATTAAAAATATAGGAAACCGCATATCTTAAAATGAAATGGAGAACTTCTTTAAAGGGTAAAAACTCATTCAATTTTATGTCTTACAGGGCTTATACTGAGTTCAATATTGTATAACTATTAATTCAACTGTGAACCTAGAAACTTACAGCCACTTGTGAAAGAGTTGTGTTCTTGCTCTGGAGTGTGTTACTGAATATTTTAAAGCTGTAATGAAATGCTTCTTCTAATCAGTAGTTATTAAATTTTTTTTAATTTACTTCATCTTAAATAGTAGAGATGATAAACATTACCAATGAAATCTACCTGATTACTTTATACCCATACTCAAGTACTAAGGATCCGAGTGTAATCAACTGTGAGTAGTAATAATCAGGTACATAGAGATTAAAGGCACATGTGCAAACATGTAAGTGTTAGTAGCATTAAAAATATAGGAAACCGCAAGGAACAATA